ATGAAGCAAATGTGAAATGTTAAACACTGATGTATCTGGATAGACAATATTTGTGAGTTCTCTGTATTTTTCTTGTAATTTTTCTGTTAGTTTAAAATTATTACCAACTAAAATTCAAGCCAACAAAGACATTAATACCCACAAATTTTTCATTATAAGGAATGAGCAAAGTCCAAGAGCATCTCTTAAGGCACTTAAGTGTTCTTTTGTTAAACTGAATCAGATTTCTCACTTCCCGAATCATTGCTTCTCTGTGTCTTCCTTGCCTGCTGCTGGCGCTCAGTCCGAGGCAGCAGAGCAGAAGTGAGGACTGATGTCTACCTTGGCGTGGAGTGGAAGCTTGGCCTACAGTGGGTCTATTTACAGACTTTGTCTTCACGTCAAGTTAGGAAAGACATCAACAAGACATTGACAAAAGACAGCATTCTCAAATAACACTTGAGAAAGTTTTAAGATTATCATAAACTTGTGTGTATGCATATAAGGCTACAGAAACATTGAATCTAGTTATTTGGCACCGACTGAATTTTTAAATGATTTTTTTCCCTCAGTTATCTGTTGTGGCATTTATAGGACCAGCCATCTCTTCTCCGATTTACTTTGCATTTTAGGTGTATGAATATGCTTTTGTCCTGGCTAGGCTGGCCTCCTCAGTGAGTATGTAGTAAAGTTTGCATTATGGTAGAGTGCAGAGTAAATTATTTTTATATGAACTCTCTAGAGAATGCATAAAACTGATTCATGTTTGTATGTTAAGTAAGCTATATTTCATTGTTTTGAATGAAGTCACCAGACGGGCTTATCTAATAAATGACACTAAGCAAATCTGCTGTCAACTGAATTGTTAGTATTCGTTTCCTGTCTACTTTGGGAAACTCATGAATTGGTGGAAAATAGGAATAATAATTATTCCCAATCTTTTTTCTTCTCATTCTACAAAAAAATTGGGAAAGAATTTATAAATAATGACTATAAGTTGCATTACATTTTTAAGTTGTCTTTGTGAAGTGCCATCAAGTCAGTTCTGACTTGTAACGACTCTGTATTGTTTCCAAGGAGCTGCTGGTGGATTTGAACCACCAACCTCGTGGTTAGTAGTCCAGTGCTTATCTTACGGCGCCCCATCAGGACTCCACACTTTTAAATAGAAATACTTAATCAGTATTTCTATTTCACAGAACTAACTGTGTTTTGTTTTTTTTTCCCCTACAATTAAGGCAAAAAGCTAGAATTTGCTCTTTGTTCATTCAGCTAATGCAGGCCCGCCTCACACCTAAGAAAGCTGAGTCCCAATGAGACTCAGTGAGAGATGGCTTAGGGTTAGTTAGCGCTAACTAGTGCTCAGGCATGTACATGGACTAAACATTTGATGAGACACTTTATGTATTCAGACAATAAATGACTTGCTCGAGAGTGACTATGGAGTCTTGGTGTGACACTGTGGGTTAATGCGCCAGACTGCAAAGCCGTTTGAACTGCAAGGTCGGCAGTTCAAGCTCACCAGCTGCTCCTCGGAAACCCTATACAGGGTCGCTATGGGTCGGAACCGACTTGACAGCACTTAACAACAACAACAGAGTGGCTATAGAAGAGGTCATGCTAGAGAATACTCTTAATTATTTTTTACTAGCTATGTAAACTAGCTTGTTGTATGCCCTCAAGTCAATTCTGACTCCTAAACAACCCGGTATAGAGTTTCAGAAGCTGTAAATCTTTGCGAGAGCAGAAAGCCTCATCTTTCTCCTATGGAACAGCTGGTGGGCTCGAACCCAACAGAGCCACCTCACATACATATTATAACATTTACTGAATTTGCATCCAATCATTTTCTACTCATAGCCAGCGACCCAGTATAGGTTTTCTGAGACTGTAAATCCTTTGGGAAGCTGAAAGCTTTATCTTTCTACCAGCTGAGTGTCTGTTGGATTTCAGATGCTGACCTTCCGGTTAAATGCTGACCTTCCGGTTAAATGCTGACCTTCCGGTTAGCAGCCCAACAGTAAGCCACGGTGCTGCTAGGTAGCTCGTTATAATTGAACTTAAGTTACACTAAACATAACTCAGTCCTTCCACGGTGTAGAACACATTTCAGGATCTTGCTGTTGCTCAGGGTCATTATTTTCATAGTTCTATAATGCAGCATTCTTGATACAGAATATAATACAGATTGAGGTCTATCTGTACTGAATTTCATGACAATTCATTTATATACTTAATATTCTTGTTTACTTATTTAGACCAATAGAATGCAAAGGGTAGGAAATCATTCTTCTTTAAATTTCAGGAAACTTATAACACGAAAGGATTGTACATCTTTATGATCTATATATATATATATTCCAGAAAAATTCATGTAGAACTTTTCATTTAGACCATAGTGTTTAAGAATAAAGTTCAAAATAGCCACTATAACTTATGTTGTATTTATGAATAAAATTTATCCAATCAAAAACCAATAACTTTTTCGAACAAGGAACTCAAGGAATTATATCTAATTTGTTTTAACTTTTATAAGGTGTCTTCAAATCTTTAAGTCAAGTAATTAATTCATATATTACTGAAAATAATTTATAGCTATTTTATATTATTATATAATGTAATCCTATTATAAAAGATAACAATGTCAATGAATTCTTTGTATTTATTTAGCGCCTGTTTGTTTTAATTTATAATGATTAATTCCTTTTATAATATGTGTGCTTGAAAGAAGAAAAACAGATGTCTTTATAAATATTTATATATGGTCTTTGTTCTAGATTGGACTTCTGCCCTCTCCCAGTTCTCCCAATTACTACTAATACAGTTTGCGTACATCCTTTTCTTTTTCCTTTGGCTTGTGTGGCAGTATGTCCTGCATGCTGCTGTTGTGTTTTTTCTGACCACATGATCCTGGGCATGCAGAGTAAAGCTGTTCTATTGGGCTTCCAAGGTTGTGATCTTTCAGAAGCAGTTTACCAGGCCTGTCTTCCTAGGTTCTTCTTGGTGGGTTCAAACTGGCAACCTTTTAGCTAATAGCTGAGTGCTTAACTCTGAATATTTAACCCTAAGTGGTACTGTGGGTTAATCCGTTGGACTGCTCCTTGGAAACCCTATATAGGGGTCGCTGTGGTTTGGAACCAACTTAACGGCACTTAACAACAACAACTTTTAATTCATCAAAATCTTGTTAACTGCATGTCGACCCTCATGTTGCGACAGTTGCAGAAAGAGTTAACTTAATGTTTCTGATAAGGACTTTTGTTAGCATCTATAATCATGTGGTCAAAAGGGACCTCAGAGTGAGTGTTCTTGAATATCATTCTTTCCTACAGGATAGATTCTTCAGGAAAATATCTGTATATCTTTTTGAAAGTATCCATTGGTACCTAATGGTAGAAGCAGAGAGAATTTACTTTTTAAAGATTCTTTTTTAAAATATTTCTTAACATCACCTTTCTTGATCTTAGGTGAGATTGAAGTTCACAAGTCTTTTACTAAGTCCGTCCCCATGTTGTTGTTGTGAAGGGCCGGCGAGTCGGTTCTAACCCATAGCTACCCTGCATAGGGTTTCCAAGGAGCAGCTGGTAAGCTTGAACCACTGACCTTGCAGTTCAAATGGCTGTGCAGTCTGGCACATTAACCCACAGTGCCACACCAATACTCCAAGGCTGTCCCCATAAGAGATGCAAATTTGTGATTCTAAAAGTCCGTTACAGTAGCAAACATTAGTCAGTTGTTTGCAGATGTCCTTTAGGCCCTATTTTATCACAAATAACTTTATTCTATTCTCATGTGCCAAGTTTAAAGTATACTATTCGGTTACTATGTAGTCAGAACAACCAAGCACTGGCTCAGACTGTCCTAGGGCAGAAGCCCATTGCGCTGTCCCTTCTATGCTGCCTGTAGATTCAGTTGGAGGACTGAAGTGCATCTGACCCAAGCCATGGTATTTTCAGTAGTGTCACATACATGTGAAAGTTGCACAATGAATTAGGTAGACTGTAGAAGAAGTGATGCATTTGAGTAATGGTGTTGGAGAAAAGTATTTCAAACACCACGGATTGTCAGAGAACAAGCACATTTGTGCTGGAGGAAGTACAATCAGAATGCTTCTTAGAAGCCAGGAAGGTGAGACTTTGTCTTTCTTACTTCAGACACGGTGTTGGGAGAGACCAGTCCCCGGAGAGGGACATTATGCATGGTGAAGTGGAGGGTCAGAGAGAAACAGGGAGACCCCACACACACACACACACACACACACAGCGCAATGCATTAGCACAGTGGCAGCAGCATTGGGCTTCAAGCATAACAATTCCCGTGAGGATGGCACAGGACCGGAAAGGGTTTCATTCTGTTGTACGTAGAGTTGCTATGAATCAGAACCAACTTGATGACACCTAACAACAACAACGTACGTTCAGTAGTAGCTTTTCTTTTTGTTAGCTGACAGATTAAAGTAGTGAACTCTGCATAAGTAACCAGATTAGGTTATTTGTAATAAACCAGCAAAGATGAGTAGTCCTTGACATTTTTATCAAGTTATAATACAGAAGAGTTGATATGTTTTCATTGCGCCATTATAATTTTCTTTAGAGAAACACCCCGCACACATTTTTATCTTTGCTGATTTACTGCTCTTTGACTGTGTCCAAAATTTCACAGCGAGGCGAGAAGCGTTATTAGAAGTCATGACCTACCTAGTCCCTAGCAGCACTGCTGTTAGCTCATTGTTTCTATTCAAACATTTGTACAATCCAAAAAGGTAGTTTTGTTACCAATTATAATCACTCGAAAAGAAGTGACATCGATCTAACAGACACACACAGGTTGTGCACTCTGAAAGTTACAACAAGGCACTGCATGCAGATACTTTGCATGTTGGAACCCCAGTGCTCATGTGCAAAATTACGGAGCTCATGCCTTGTCCGTGAGCTAGGAGAGAGCCTCAAACTTAACTAGCAAGTGAGCTTGCGTATCGTTAGAAAGAAAATCAGTGTGCCTTTTCTTGTCTTTAATTGCAGAAAGTGACATCACTTCCTTTGCTGTCTTGGATCAAGACCAAAAGGAAATTGTTGACACCAATGGAGCTGGAGATGCATTTGTTGGAGGTACAGAATGACTTACTCAATATTTACTTTTTTAAATGCTCATTTAACCACTTATTGAATACTTAACACATTTTCTTGAACGCTTGTCTCTGCCACATAGCCAAGATTTATAAATTTAATAACTTTTAATTTCTTCTTTTAAATTATTAATTCCTAATGTTCGTTCGTTTCCATGTGCCTGCTATCACTGTGAGCCTTCTGCAGTGATTTTACTACAAGAAACATCTGTGTTTGAGCTATAAAGGTAATTTGCGCTTGTGCTGTACCCCACTCATTTTCGCAAGATGAATTGTATCTATCAGAATATTGCATAAACAAGTGGTTTCAAGTGCTGTCTACAGTGAACTCATAAAGGCCTTCAGCCTTCAAAATTAACACATTGTTATTTTTTCAAGCAAGCTGTGGTGAATATTAAGCAAGATGTTAATAAGGGCAGTGTCTTCTGAGCATATCCTTTGTTTTTCACATACTAGTCGGGTATTCCTTTTACTACAAAGGGTTAAAATTTTGTCTGATTCTGACTCAGTAAAAACTAGAAAAAGTTTTAAGGCCTGAATTGGGTTTGGAATGATTATTCAAAAATAAGATCAAGATAACTGGAAGATTCTTGGCTTCTTGACTTAAATTGATCTCAAATCTGGGTCAAAAGTTCCTTTGATGAGCCTAACTTCCTTAAAAGGTAAGTAGAGTTAAGTTAGATTACGGTCTCTAGAGAGCTTTAAATTCCTGAATGGTAACCATACCTCTGTTTCGCTTTGAGCAAGCTGAGTTTTAAAAAAAAGTTGAATGGGCATGGCCATTGCCCTCCTTTCCCTGGATGGTAATTTGGATCATTGTTGACCTGGGGAAAGGTCATGTGATGGTAACCACATAGCAATATCATTGATAAAATACTTCATTTTAACAGTCTTTGCCACCAACACATTTTTCATTTTCGTCCATCATGCCTTGTCTTATGTGAACTGTTAACCATGAAGTTTGTAGCATGCCCATCTTCTACTCTTTGGAAAGAACACATGTCACATAGAGCATTCGCGTTGACTGTTAATTTTTGCATCTTTTCACTTCCTTGCTGTAAAAGGCTTTGTCATTGAAATGTTAGAATACTTTGCAGTTAATGCTCCTATTTCATACTGCTTTAGAGCTTTAACTCCACGTAGGTTAAAAATATCTTATTCAGAATGAGGCCAAATGCTACACAGTTCATTAAGAATGCACTATCAATTTTATGGTTAAAAATGGACTAAACCAGAAATCTTAGTCCAGAATCTATGTTGTTGTTGTTGCTAAATGGTTCCGACTCATAGTGACCCTGTATAGGGTTTCCGAGGAGCAACTGGTGAGCTTGAGCTGCCGACCTTTCGGTTCAATCCGACTATGCAGTCCAGCGCATTAACTCTCAGTGCCACATCAGGACTCCAGAATCTATAGAAGCTTTTAAACTTGTAACTTGTGCGCCTGTTTATGCATTACTTAAAACATTTAAAACAAGAACAGTCTATTTTTTTGACATCTAATAGATACATAAAGAGACCATCACAGTTATGATAGTAACTTTCACCCCTTTGAGCCCACCTGCCATTCCATGAGAGACAGATGAGGTTGTCTGCTCCCATCTAAATTGGAAACCCTATTTAGAGGCACTGTTAGAGCTGCCTCGAGGGTGCACAGCCATCATCACCACCTGGTTCTGCAACAAGATAATCCCTTACAGATACCCAACTGCCTAACTCTAATACTACTCACACTAGGTAAGAACTTAGAGACTTTTTTGAGGAAAGAGAAACCATTCTTAGATAAGAACAGTTAACAGTTTGGATGAGCAATGAGTTACTTCATCAAAACCCTTGGTCTTGTTATTAGATGATTTTTCAGTATCTTTCTTTTTATTCCACTCCACTTACTAAGCCTCATTGTATTTATTTCGGGGTCTGGTGGTGACGTTATTAAGTGCTGTCTAATTCGTTCCACCTCATGGCAACCCTGTATAGGGTTCGCAAGGAGCAGCAGGTGAGGTCAGTCCAAAGGAACGTGTGGACGGGAGGTGAGCAGGCCTCTGTGAAAAGCCAGGTGCTACCTATCAAGCCACTTACCGGCTGTGTTTCATACTGCTCTCTGTATTTGCTTGTTTATGTCTTCACCTGATCTAGTTAATTTTTTTTTTTAAATCCTTTAAATATTTAAAGACCTTTCTTAGCATTACAGTTGTATAAAAACAAGCCATGGGTCATAGTTTGCCACTTTTATCATAGTTAAGATCCTTCCACTGGATTTCATTACACACTATTGAAATTAATATAGAGAAAGTAGAAGACAGCCTGAAACTAGGCTGGACTATACTGGTGGTCCAACATCATCACATCCTGCAAGATAAGCTCATGATGTCTAAACATATTTGCATTGAGCTGAACAGTTTATCAGTGGAACGTACATTTCAGGTTAGTCAAGCGATATAGTAATAGAACACTGGTGTGGCGCTGTAGGGTCAATACCGGACTGCAAACCACGAGGTTGGCTGTTTGAGCCAAACAGCTGCTCTGCCAGAGAAAGATGAGGCTTCCTGCTTCCATAAAGATTTACAGCTTCAGAAACCCTATACAGTGTCACTATGAGTTGGAACCAACTTGCTGGCACACACCCACCACCACCACTACTATACAATTGCTATTTTAAGTTCTTTATGTGTATTAGTTCATATAACCCTCACAGAAATTCCTTGAGGGTGGATTGTTTTTAACCCCGTTTTACTGAGGCACAAAGAGGTTGAATAACTTGCCCAGAGTCTAAGAGCTAAAGAATTGTAGACTTAGGATTCAAACCTAGGCTGTCTAGGTCTTACCTACTACACTGTACTGCTCCCCAAAACATTTGGGGAAATACTATCATTAGGACGAGAGAGCCTTTTCTTTTTTTTAAAGTTTTTATTGTGAATTATGTGATAGTTTACATGGGAGAACATTAGCTTTCCATTCATCCTATCGTGCCATGCATCATCAAACAACAAAGAGTATACCCCGCAAGCCTGCCCCTAGGTCATCAGCATACAGCCCCTCTCCCTCCCTGGATCTAGAGTCCCCAGCCACTCTGTCTCTCCACGCAGAGAGCCTTTTCTTGACAAAGACTGATTCTGCCAAAAAGAATCATCTTGTTTCCTGAATTGTTGTTAAGTGCCGTTGTGTCAGTTCTGACTTATAGCGACCCTTATAGGGTTTCCAAGGAGCGGCTGGTGGGTTTGAACCGCCGACCTTGTGGTGAACAGTAAAAGGCACCATACCAGGAGTCCTGAGTAGATGACTTCATTTATTGAGCAGGGACATGTGTGATAGGATTCTGATGACTCCTCAGTAAAATGGTTGCAGACAACAAAAGAAAAACCGGAAGGCTAGAGAGTTGAAGTACTATACTGCCTAGTGAGTTTGAACGAAGAACTTTTTGCTTAATGGTAGAATCAATTACACTACAGAGAGATAAAAAGACAGATCATAAACCTGCTTGGTCAGCATGGAATCCAAATAAGGGAAGTTATGTGAATCAGCTCTGAATAGCTCCAGGTTAAGCTACCAGATGCGGGTACCTTACAGTAGAGATGGTCTTATTAGTTGTAAAGACTTAAAAATCCATTGGGTAAAATCTGCTCTTATCCCCATACCATGGGAGGCCTTTCTACTAGGACTGGAAATAATTCCCCTGCTGCAGACTTCCTTCACTGGACGAGAATGGAGTGGCAGTAACAACTTTTACATTTCTTCGTAGTATATTTTGTGTGTCTGGTTTATTGCCTAATATATTCCCTTTCTGGTTAATACATTCTATCTTTAGATAGTTAATATATTCATTCTGATACTTTCAAGTTTTCCTAGCCTGAGAGTATCTCTGTCTTTTGTGACTTTGCACATTATCTCTATTCTAGTCCACTTTGTAATGATGTAACTCTCTAAGGGACAATCATTTTCTTTCCATCAATTTCAAGTCCTTGCAGAAAGCATCTCTCTAGCTACCATGTGCTAATGATCTATCACAGTACAAGAGCGCCATGTGTTCTTTTTAGCCAGTTAAAAGACATATGGCTCTATCATGGATTTTCATGTATAATGTTAAAATGAGTGCCCTAAATGTACATAAATTGAATTCTTTGTTCCATCTCAAGGATTTGGTAACTGTGACAAATCCCTGTAGCCTCTAAAAGCATACCTCCTTGTTCGGATTGGAGATCTTAAGCCCTTTTCTAACAAATGTCTTTTATCTGTCACTAGCCAGCCCTGATGGAACTACCTTCTCACATTCTTCCTCCTCAAAAGTCCAAGGGCTAGGATAGAGCCCTTGGAAATGGAGACAATTCTCTAATCTCTAAGTATGATTTCCTAATTTCCCAGGTCAGGAGAAAATTTCTTCCTGTTGTCCTGCTGTGTTTTGTCGCAGCAGGTCTGCCTTTTCATTTGGAACCTTCTTTGTCACTGCCATAGTAACAAATGGAAACATTGAGAACATCTTGTGACAGGCACTGTCATTGTTCCCAGTGAAATCTCTTCCCTTGTGTCTTCCCAGTAAATGAAACTGAGAAGAAAAATCATAACAAATAACATGAAAGCGGACCTAATCAATATGTTCCCACCGGGCTGTCAAAAGCAGCCTGTGTTATCTAATATGGTTTAGTTGTATATTTAGGAATACAGACAAGACATACAATCATCTTTAGACTCAAAGTGAGGACACCATTAGCAGGTTATATCTAGGCACATTTGTACAATTTTCTATTTAAAGACTAAAGACCTTCCTTAAAGATTAACATTTTTAATATTTAAAAAACATCTTTTAAGCTTCCTTAAGTTTGATTAGAAGCCATACACAGTTTTAGAGCATTTTATTTTGAATAATAGTGAAGTAACTGTGTTGCCTTTGAATACTTTTTACTTTCAAAATACTGAGGACTGTTTTAGCAGGAAAAAAGGTATTGTCATTAGAGATACTATGTACAATATTCAAACGTATTTTAAAGTCAC